CAGCAGTTCACATAAGGCGCCATGAACTGCCTTCCAGCCCTGACTCTTCCTTCCTTCTGRRAAGCAGAYCATCTGCTTTCTACCCTTGCCAAAAAATTCTGTCAAGGAGATAAAATAACCTTTAAGGTTTCTCTTACACTCTACAATAACCCTTCTAACAGCACCATCCCTCTCTTTGCTTCCCTGATATTCAAGCTCAGCTGACCATTTAATCTGAGTTCCTCAAATAGGAGCTCCTTAGATTCAATCTTCAAAGCTTTTTTCCAACGGCCTACCTCCACAAATTCTCCCATCTCAGCTCCTCACCCTCTCACCCTCTCACCAACCCTCTCTTTGCTTCACCCTCTCACCCTCTCACCCTTGGATTGGCATAACCTGGTGGGAGCTCAATGTGTCATGTACTTTTTTCGGAACTAATGGATCATGACCATGCTCTACTGGAATAAAGCCTTAAGTATGCTGCCATAGACCAATTGGCTGAATTAACAAGTGTTGTGAATTAAAATCAATTCAGTTTTAAGGATTAAAAAGTTCATTACTGAATACTGGTCCTAGTTATCTGGGGTTTTGGGAGGGTTGGGCTGGATATGGACCTAGCCTCTGGCATTTTCAGCACCATGTGGCCATTCTCAGACACAAATCATCATTCTCATGCTTGTTAGGCTGAGACTTTACCATCACACCGAGCAATGGCCTCTTACATGATTCAGGGGATCATTTCTAAATCATTTGACTCCTAAGCTGTGAAAGATGGCAATAGCAGCCACTTGGGAAAGATGACTTCAAAGTGGTCTGCTTCTTTTCTTTTTCCTTTTACAAGGTTACATAGGAGTCTAGTTTTTAGCTGCGTTTCCACATTTAGACTAGCACTGATCAGCATGAAACCAGCTAACTTAACCAATATCCTGAAACCTCAGTTTTGTTGTGTTGGACTTGATGTTGTTATTTTACAGCCAATTCCCTGTCTGCCTCAAACTTTTCTTTTTTCAGATTTTCGTAACTACTGTCTTTTTTTGTTTGAGAGATGATTGAGGGACATCAAAAGCTGAGACTCAGAAGAGAAAATGGAGGGATATAACTAAACTGTTAAAACTTTTGATTGTGCAGGAAGGAGCTTTCTATGTATGCTTCAGTCACAAAGATCATTCCAGATTTGGATAACCAGACCAAAATTTCTGGTCGTATCCTCTTTTGTAATAGCTAGTTATGCCTTTAAGATTTAGTTGGCAAAAGCACACACAAGCACATGTATAATTTTCATGTTTTGGCTATTAGATTTGTGGTGAAGTTGCATACCATTCTACTAACAACTGGATCTCCTTAAATTGGCTAAAGATATCGTGGACAAGCACAGAAAGATGGTTGAAAGGTTTGAATTTGACCCTATGAATGCATCCACCTTGGAGACATGTAATAGGCTGTGGAAAATGACGAGTTTATGACTGTTTACTCTATTGTGATATATGTAATGAACTAAAGATGTATAAATTATATTTCTTGTTGTAAACACTGAAGATGCCAACTTGCTGGGAAATGAGCATATTTCTGGACTTCGCATGCGGTTCCCAATTTCCCATCCCTTTGCTGGAAGATACCTATTTTAGTCATGTAGATGAACGATTTATCCAGTAGATAATCCATTATGTCAACTGTGAAAGCATGCCTATGTGATAGAAATAAATGATTTATGTCTTGTTAAGCTATTTACTTTTGTTTCCCTTTTTTTCTTGCTTTTAGAACATATATAGGGGCATAAAATTCCAATTTTGAGACCCTAACTTTTCGGGTGTAATATGCAAGGCTCAGAATATTGGAAATGTAATTTTTAAAATACATTTGGATATGTAGGGAAATGGTGGAAAAGTTAATATATGCATGGATATTCTAGGGGAACTCAATTAAATCCTAAAAGTACACAAAATGCTGCAAATTTGAGAGAATGAAGATGCTCAAAGCTTTGTGGTTAATAGAAAAATCCATCTTTCCATTGCACTGCAAAAGAGATTCAAATTTCTACTTGATGAAAGGGGTGTTCGACACAACCCATTGGATAGCGAAAAACTCTCACATTGGGTTTTGTCGAAATATTTGAACTTTGGTGAATTCCTGGGAGTCTCAGTCAGGAGTTTCGAGGAATAGACGAAGACTTTCCTTATGGCAATGGGGCAGATGTTCTTGGAAGAAAAAGAAAAAGGGAAGGTGAATGTGAGATTCAAGAAGACAGCTAAAGGCTTCCAAAGAGAGTTGCTATGACTCACTCGGGGTCTAAACGATAGGGCAGGGAGTGTTGAAGATGTCGGCAGGGGAAGGAGGAAGGGTAGATAAAGCATGTTCAAGTTTTGCTTATTCTTTTTGTAATTTTTCCCTACTTTGAATTGGAAAGTAAGGGGGCTTTGCTTTAGTCGGAGGTGGCTGGTGGTTTGCTCGGTGATTAAGAATTGGAGGCTGAATGTGGTGCTAATTCAGGAAATGAAATTGAATAGTTTGGAAGTAAGAACAATAAGAAGTGTGCGAGGAGAAGGCCAGTGTGATTGGAGATGCATGAATGCTCGTGAAACTACAGGAGGGATACTGGTGATCTCGAACATTGAGTTGGTACAAGTAAATATACTCTTTTATAAGGGAGTTTTTTTGTGTCCATTGAAGTTCAGAGAAGAGATGGTTTCTGAGGATTGATTGTGGACGTCTATAGACCAAACATTGACTCCTTGGAGGAAGTAAACCAGATTCTAGGTGGTAGGTCTATCCCTAGGTGTTTAGGTGATAGACTTTAATATCATATGGTTCTCACATGAAAAGAAGGGAGGGGCCTGTCTATCTTTTGTAGAGTTTGTCAACATGAATGTTTTAGTGGATTTGCCACTATTAACTGATGCAAAGTTCAATTGGTGTAAGGGGACTAACCTAAGTAATATTGTAGACTAACGATTGAGACCTTACAAACTGAGTCTGCGGACCCGTTAAAAGAAAAATAAGCTATTAAAAGAAAATTGAAGACATGTTGTTAAGAATAAACCAAAAGAAACGGACAAACCACAAGTTCGCTGTGCAAGAAAAGTGAGTAGGAAAGACAATTTGGAAAACAAGCGATTGTGGCTACAGTTATGAATGACAGATTACGTCCCTTAGACATGATATGTGGTAGGAGTCAAATAAAACGAATTTGTTCCATGAATCGCAGTCCGACACGTGCCACCATCTTAATGGATTAAAGATCTGTACCCACTAGCAAGCTTTCCGGAAGAATTCTTGATAAATGCACATACAAAACCAACTCTCCTTTTTGCCTATAATACATATGAAGGTCCCTGATGTGATAGAGAAAGATACAGAGATACATCAGAACTTCAAATATTCTTGCAGAGTTCTGATCTCATTCTTTTATCCATCCTTAAAGTTCCCTTTTCGAACTTTCTTGTTATCTTCCCTTCTCTATATCCTACTCAAGTTCTCCAGATCTAAGATCATTATTACAGTGCTATAGCCTTACTCTCGGACGAACTTCCAAGATGTCTTCACCTTGGTGCAGTTGGATCAGTTTTTGGTGTCTTCGGAATGGGAGTCAATCTTTTCAAATCTTTCTTAAGAAGCCTTGCCAAAACCTTTATGAGACCACACTCCAATTTTGTTGGCAGAGGGTCGACATAGAAAATTTAATCCTTTTTTGCTTTGAGAATGGTTGGTTTTAGGAGATGGATTTTGTAGTGCAGTTGAAGGAGTGGTGGCTGTCTTTTGAAATAGAAGGGTTGTGTTCTCATGTGCTGCGAAAAAGTTACAATTGCTAAAATTAAAGCTTCAAGGTTGGAAGAAGAAACTTTTAAGGAGGTAGATCACAGGAAGGATGAGCTCTTGAAATTAATAGGGGAGATGGACGGGAAAGAGAAAGGAGGGCCCCTCTCAACGAAAGAAAATTTTACATGTTCTTGCTTATATATTTTTTCTATATTTTTTGGAATTTTTTAGATTTTTTTTTTGTATTTTATTATTTTTATTTTTTCATATGTTGTTATTTTTCCTGTATTTTTTGTGTATTTTTTGTATTTTATTTAAATTTATATGGTATTTTTTATTATATATAAATATTTTTTGTTTTTTATTTATTTATGATGTCATGGGTCAGACCGTTCGACTCGGACAGTTGAACCGCTGAACCGGAAAACGATGCCCTGACCGATTCGGTTTTAAAAACCATGCTTAAATTAATACTTTGCTAGGTGCTAGCTGAAAACTTGAGGATTATGAGAGCTAGAATGCACTAAATCGCGTGTACCTAGGTTTTGGGGGCTGGTGCCCTTATATAGATGAGTTATCGTGGGTCTCACAAAACACCTCCGAGATCCTCGACCCGTGCCGTTAGGAGTCCATTCTACCCTGGGAGGTGGATAACGTGCTAGTCGATAAGGCTTATCGTGTTCGTTCGATCTGGGCGAGATGGGGATAAGACCTACGGTTGTGTGGCGTGATCCCGAAGAGCTTGAGGACAACTAGCAAGCTTCTAGAAGTCTGCTACGTGTCACCTCGGCAGACTAGGCAATGCCGAACTACTCGAACCTTGGTCCTTGATGAGGTGCCCGAGACACCCGAGGTGGACTGGCCCATCGAGGTGGCTGAAAGTGCTGAGGTGACAGCATGCATTGAGTCATAGTCCAATCAGCAGGTCGCATCCACGTGTCCGCTATTTAATAGGTTGGGCCAAATCACCCCTCATTAATTGCCCCCCACTCCCCGTGCCAGGGGTTCTGATCCGATGCGGGGAGGTCATGACGAGCTCAGGTGGGTTTGGCCTGGTCTCTTCTCTGGTCGAGGTCCAATCCGACGGTTAGACCGTATTGACCCAATCGACTCAACCATAAAACCAAATTGCATATTGGGGACACGTGGACGTCATGCGGATTACAAACCTTGCAGACGTCAAACACGCGCTCAACTGATTTCAGCCTCGAAGCCATGCAGCCAGTTTTGATGGAGATTGTCGAATCGAACAGATCTTAGCCGTCCGAGATCGACTACCTTGGCTATAAATAGGGGCCTTGGGGTCCCATTTGCCTTGTCCTGTTTCGAGTTTTGCAATTTGGAGCTCGCGTGCTAATCCGGGTCGGTGGAATTTGTCTTGTTCTCGAGGTCGTTCCCCCTTCGGTAAGTTGCTTTCCTCTGCCCCCGTTCCTTGCTCGCTTCTTTCCTTTCAATTCGATATGTCTAGCACTAGTACGGGTAGTTTGTTTGACACAAGTAGTGAGTCCACTAGGGCCGAGGTGTCTGAACGTAGAGTCTGGTCTTGCCACGTCGGTGCATAGTTCTGAGTCCAGCCCAATCGAGGCGGACACCTCACTACAAGAGCATGAGGTTTCTGGAAAGAAAGCCTCAACTTCTAGTCGTTCTCGGGGGCCAGATCACTTCGGTCCTTCTATAATGACAGAGGAGAGGCTCTAGGCGCTAGTTGCCCATTACAAATTCCCCGACGACCATGGTTTCCTTGGGACCATGATCACGACGAGATTGTGGTCTTTGAAGAGCAGCTAGTGGTCGGGCTGCGCTTCCCTCTTCACCCTTTCATCATCGAGGTCATCAAGTTCTTTGATATCACCATAAACCAACTCCATCCCAACTCAGTTTGCACCATCATTGGGACCATTTTCCTCTTCCATGACTACAAAAGGCTTTTGAATTTAGATATCTTTAGTTTGATCTGCTCTATCAAGAAAAAACCCCGCTGGCCTTCCAAGAGTAGAAAAACATAGTTATTATATCTCTCACCAACTTGGGTACAAGGTCTTGAATGAGTACCCTAACAAAGTCCTGGCCTAGAAGAGACGATACTTCACTGTTACTGTTGCTGGGGTGGCCGTTCTCGACGCACTGGACTTGGTCATGTAGAAGTTTGATATATGTTTTTTGGAAGTTGACCCGTCTCATTTTGCTCAATCTTTACTTCTCCATTGTTGGGTTTTTGGAAAGAGAAACTCTAAAACAAAGAAATGATTTTCTCTCAGAAAACCCTTTGGCCTTGAGAAACGTGTTGCCTTCAATTTTCGAAGCTGGGAAGGAGAGAGAGAGAGAGAAACTTGCTTGCAAATTATTTTGGGGAGTGGGCATAATGATCCATGCTTGAGTCAGAGAGCGAAAGAGGGAGAAAGGGGAAAACAGTAACTGTAAGTCTAGAATTCAAAAGCATGCTAGTACGAACCTCTTTTCTTCATTGCGAAGAAAGGATTCCCTTGAACTGTAGTGGTAGAGCATCGTTCAAAGAGGGGATTCGAGACCAACTCTCAGAGAGGCACGAAATAAAGAGAAATGTATAGTAATTGATCGATGATCGATTACTTACAAGTGTGATGATTCAAAAGCGTTCAACTATGATGTTGAAAAGATCATATCTGAAAAACTTCTGACAAAATCATAAACCTGTTAGCCAATCAGGTGTTATTTATCATAAATGATTGAAGTTGGCCGATCTCCAATGGTTTTGTCATGGATTCACATGCTTTCTACTTTGTTCTACCCTTGAACAGAGCTCGCATCGTCTGTCTCTAGGGGACAAAAAATTTTCTATCCCGACCAATCTAATTGTAATACGTCACCTTCACACCCGAATTTGAAACCGACGGAAGAAAACCCTCTAACGGCAAGATAGACGCCAAAAGTTATGAAAAACAATTATGTGAAGTCAAATATCCTCTCCACTGTCACCCTCATCGACATCAAT